GGGAACTTGTCGTTAATGTGGAGGTGAAGGAACGGAGTGGAGGTCGAAGTGCTTTTTGTACCGCGGTAGGGTGCTAGCGAGGGAGGTTTCTGTGGTGTTTCCCGGTAAGAATAACAAAAATGTTTTGAATGCAATCAAAACAAAGCAAAATTATGACAAACTCTTAAACAATTAGAACAACAACAGCGGCAAAACCACCGGCACCACCACTGGCAACTCTAGCAAATAAACGCAGCAACTTCTAAAGATGTTGATGTAACAGATAGAGATCAAAGATGGATTTGTGTTGTTTTTGTTTTTGTCTCATTTGCTTTAGACTTCTGTTCCCCCTCGGGTCCACATATGCATGTTTGTCTCATTTAGTTAATCCGAAGTGTTTATGCTTGATTCATGCGATAGGCTCAAAGGTATAAAGATATAGACAACAAGCCTTCAACTTATGCATTCATCAACTCTTCTACGCTATAACGTCAGATCTGCCGATTCACAAAAACGGCGACTCTACCATATGTACCAACTACCGTTGGATCAGACAAAGTCTAATCGAGCGTATTGTATCAAAGAATAACCATCACCCATGAGCTGATTAAGCTTTTTCTGTGCGGGCTTACACCTAGTCAATCTCAGGTGCGAGTGGCGACCGTTATTTGAAAAAACGTTTTTAATTTTTTGGAAACTGGTGGGAAACTAGGCTTGAACCCAGGCTCTGCGAAATGATATCCCGCATTGCTAACCCCTACCCCACAGCGGCCGCCAGCGTAGTTCCCTATACGGGAAGACTTTTTATATGTTGGCAGAAGGTACTTTATGTTTTCCTTGTCCACCATAGGCCAACCTTTTAAGCTTCTTTTCTCAACTGGAAAATGCTACGCAGACGTTAATGGGTTTCAGGTCGACGATGTCAGCGTTATATAGCGCTTGTCTAAGACGTCTTTTGGTCCCAAACGGTGCGGAGAGATCCTTCCCAATTTGAACGTAGCTGAAGGTTGTGCACAACGTCAATCTACGTTTTTAGGGATTTCACACATGGCCTCGTACAGGCAGCTCATCCATTCTTAAAGGTTGGACTCAGCTTGCCGGGTAATAGCCACTACTTTATTGAGATAAACCATTGTTGTCTGATGTGTAGCAAGGACATTGAACCTTTTGTCAGATGTGAACATAAAACATCTCAACATCTGTGGAATTCTGTCGTTAATCAATGGGTTGCTGAGCATAACAAGCCCAAACCAGATTTTGAACGGTAATAATAAAATCCATTCGCGCTAAAATGTTTCGCTTTACTTACTATGAACATAGTCCTTAAATATATTGAGCCAGAAAATAGTCAAGCGATTTATAAAAATTTCATAAAAAATCAGTACAAATTTTCGACAACAAACTAGATTACTAAATTAGACTTTCTTATTCCATAAGACTACTTCTAAGGCTCATAACCTTTCAAGTAATCGGCCCTTCCCTCACAAGCTCCACAGCCTCATTGATTGCCTACATTCAGCCACAAAATTTAATTTATCTAACATTCACTGATGTCCTTCGAGTTGCGGTTTTTCAATTGATAACACAACAAAAGTAGTAGGAGAGTGAAGGAAAAGCATCTCACTTACAGGCATAGACACTTGTTCAGATGGCGACCATAGCTAAAATTTTAGCTAAGCTTAGGTACAAAACTGCCACAAGTGTCACATGCGAGTGCTCCATGGCGGTGGCTAGCCAGTGGTTATGGTGACAAAGGTGGGATAGGCGACAGCCGCATCTTTTGTGGATACAAGATATGAAAGAGCGAGTGTGTAAGTGAACACGTACCCTTGTCAAAGTTTGCACGTCGCGCTGATAAAACTTTATACGCTGCTGCTATCGTTTGTTGCTATTAGCACATAGTACCACTGCGGTGGGTGTTGTTTTTGTGTAGATATTGTTAATATTGTTATTGCTATACTTTGTTGGTTGGCGTGTTCGTTTGGGTGTGCACATGCATATGCACATCTCTGCTTATCAGATGCATATTCGCTTGTTATTATTTGGTGTTTGAGCTGATATCATCTGCCTTTGACATTGACATCAACAACAACAGCAATTGTGGCAGAAGTGCCTTACCTGATGGTTGTATTAGAGAAAACACAAAACCGCAGTTTACCCAATAGCAAGTCAGCAACCACACTCATGACAACCGTTGAGCAACACTTGTGGAATTCATGTATGTATGTACCTACACTACATACTTATAGACATACCTACATACGTTTTCAAAACACTTTTATTTAGTGCTGAATTATTCTATTCATGCACATCATTGAACCACCTCAACAGATGCATCACTTGGAGCTACTGTTCTCCCACATTTTCATATCCAACCCGAATATCTACTGCAATTGTTATTGAAAACCACTAAGCAGACGATGACACCTTTATTCATCAAGACTAACGATCTCACAAACTGACACAGTTCACAGTTTCAATGTAACCGAATTACACGCCAAACTTTCCTTAACTGTCGATGAAAAAATATCAATTCGATAGATAAAAATGTCCTGAATAATATATAAAAATGATCAAAAATAGATCGGTGCAGAAGAAACACAAAAAAAAAATGTAGAGGTTCATGACAAAAACAGCAGTAGTTTCGAAAAAGATCATTGGACTGAAAGAAAAAAATACAAAATTGTAGATAATGGGTAGGTTCAGAAGGTGCAGAATTGAGCACAACCGTTGCTTAAAAAATCAATGATCGTCATGCGTCTTCTGAACGGCTTGATACATTAGCTGCCAAATTGAAAACACACAACACGTTTTCTCAAATGACCAGAAAAATTTTACGATCATCTAACACGCAACTGTTCAGTTGATTAGAAGTACAAAACAACGCGTTCAGAAGGTGCAATCGCAACAGTTACTGTATCCACATCCAGGTGAGATTTTTATATAAGTCTGAGGAGCTCTTATCACGTACCTATGATGACATAAATATCATGCTTGACGACTTTAATGCCTGGGTGGGCTAAGAAGACCTTCCTGGTTGAACACTCAGAAAACTCAGCCTATGCGACAAAAACTTTCCGTTCGACGAAGCATGAGAGCGGATAGTCTGAGTCACCAGGAGCACAAATCAATACATCTATCAGATTTCTCATATCCTACGTAGCAGCGCTAAAAAAAGAGAGACGATTCATATATTATAGCCTCCCAGCGGCGCACTACTGAATGGGGTCCCAGTATGTAAAGGACACTAACCATAAAGCGGTCATACATATAGATAGGTTGTAATCGATTGACTACGGCATACTGCCCACGGAGTGATGATTACTTCGGGTCCTTCAGCAATGCGCCGTTGGGCTGCCATAGGACGCGAAGCGAGCTGTGGAAGAACGTTATCTAGAGTTGAAAATATGGTCTGGCGAAAGCATGTCTGCTTAAACCCGCCGCCAACAAGTTAATCCACCACAGCGCAGATATCAATACAAGCCAAATATTGGAAAGGACATGCGATAGAAGGTGTGTGAAACCATCAATAAAACTATGTAAAATTACTTTCAGCAGCACCAATACCTTCGTCATAATTGGGAAAGACCTAACGTATGCCGATGACATCTACATTTCCGGTTACAATAAACTTGACGTCTGTCAAGCTCGCGGCTCTGATGATAAATGAGGAAAAATCGGAATATATCCTGTAATCAAATAAGCGCACAGCGCATACTCGGCAACCACATCGCCTTTTTATGCATGAGATTTCGACAAATTCGATTCTACTTTGTTTCACAAGGCAATATTGCAGATCCAAATTTTCATCGAATTTTGAGGAGACGCAAAATCTCAGAGTCCATCCCCTGCGATTTGTACACACAAGGCCTTTAGATAAATTTATCACTCATTGGTTATTTGCACTCGCTTAAGATTAATCACCTCAAATCTTGAGTGTATTTATTATTTATTCACAAATTTTTCGCTTAATTACTTTTTGAAGTGCACTGATTTTAGTATAACTACCACTCTAAATTGTTAAATAAAAATTTGGAATTTTCCGGCTTCATCAACTTAACACGTTCACCGCGTTGTTTATCCAGTACACCTACAATTTTGCCCGCAACAACTGTAATTTTATTGGGCGAGCAAAAGGTAACATTTAACGAATTCAGTGGCTGAAAGTCCTCTCCTTCCTGAAATATATGTATATAAAGGTGTGCAGAGCAGTTTACTGGAGCACCTTGACTGCTGGACACTTTCAGCTGCAAGTCAAAGATTACATTTTCATTTACTTTGCACTTTGATGGCACCAAAATAAATAAACACACAGGCACACACACACACAAACACAAGCACTCACATGCATATGAAAGTATTCAATCATACAACTTTCATACAAATATTGACAGTGAAACAAATACACATCGCACCAGGCAGAAATGCAGGAGCTTTTGTGTGTAATATATATACATACATACATATATATGTATGTAGATATTTATCTGGGCAACAATAGTTTCATTTAGTTGGAGAGTTTCAGAAAACTTCAGCTTCACCTTCAAGGACTCTTCTTTTCTGCCGCCGATGCTCTTGTAACTTTGACACCTACGGCTTACCAATAGTGTTGTGGTTTATTGTAGTGCCCTTTCAAGTGCAGGCCTCATCGTACCCCCACCAGTTTTCGAATACCATGAGGTGGGTGGGTGGTATGCATACACATACGAATACATGAGAAAAATTTCTCGCTTCCAGCCATGGCCAAACTAACGAAAACCACTTGAAACTTTATTAAATTCGATGTATTTACTTAGGATCAGATCGCGCGGTAGCCACATACACACATAAGTTGCATGCCTCAAGCACAGGTAAATAATCGTATACAAATACTTGTGCATATAACCAACACGTTCATACATATAACTTGAGTGTGTGTATGTGTGTGTGAGAGAAATAAAAACACTTCGAGTACAATTCGCTTTTGCACTTGACTGTACGTGCATACAAATTTATTATATGTATTTAAGTCAAATAGTTTTACGAAACATCTGTGTTGAAATCACAGCTTTACTAAGCGCTTTGGTATACTTCTCGCATATTTTTCCGTTAAATTAACTTTCGTGATCAGAGTGGACTGCTGGAAAGGACCAATATTGGCTGCATATGCCATCAGCGCTGGTATATTCGACTGTTCATAGTTGCCAGAGAAGTAGTGCTCGTAGGGACCTGAAGCATATACTGCCACATCGTCACCGCCATGAGTCTCGGATTCCAAGGGCACAGTTGCCATATATTTGTAACTAGGATCGTCTAAATCAGCATCGCTCAAATCTTTTCGGCCATTCTTGGAAGAGTATGTCTTTGAGAAACCGGGACCATTAGCATAGGAAAGTATGGTGTAGGGTAAGTCATCATCTGCGTTGGCGGGAGCCAGACCGAAAATGTCGGAGCCGCGTGTCTAAAGAAACGTTAAATTAGAAAAAATGCATAACTATGTATGTATCGATCGGCATATTTATACTAGGCCAAAGTACAATAATTTTAATTGTCTCTTCTGCCCAAGAGAATTTTTCTTGTGTTCGGAGAACTTAGGGAAAGTTTTGATAATATGGAGATCATAAATTTTGAATTGAGCGAAAAGTTTTTTCGTTTTGTTTTTGAAGAGACTTTTTGAATTAAATTTCCAACACCAGTCAATGGTGCTTTCGTCGTTTCGTAGTGGGGCCTTGGGTCACGGCAAAAAGAGAGGACGCTTATTCGGCTTAAGGTCTCACTGAAATCTCCAGCATCTGCTCACCTGTAAGTGCGAACGCAATGAGGAGTGGGTAAGGAGAACCCCTGTTACATTGTATGCGTTCTAAGACTATTCTTCGGGGTATTAGTGTAGTGGTAAGAGCTAAGAAGAAAGTTTTCCTAAGCGACTGCAAAGCATCTATCCACTAAGATTAGATCTCCGAAGCAACAACGTTTATCGTCCGAAGATACGCTTTCTGGAAAGAGAGGCATGTCTAAGGTAAGTCAGCAGGCCTCTCCACGATCTCTCAGATGAGATCCAGACCTATATCACATAACCACTGACACTGAAGTTATACAATAGGCTATAAACCACATTCAGAGGCAATCATCACGTTTACCAACTCTCGCAACGAGAATTCCGTCCTTGTAGTGCAACCATCAAAGTATGAAGAGCTTCAGCTGCCTCGAGAGATCTATTTAACTGTTTTCGTTATTAAAGTTTGGATATAGTAGCAGGATACCCTCACATGTATTCGCCTAGTGAAGGTACCCAAACGGCACCAACCAACTCTCTACTAGCCGCGTTTAATCCCTTCAGCTAACACCCTTTTCTCTTTGGTTCTTATCCGTCGAAGCAGTAGGTTTCCTAGGCTTAAAGCTAGTAGAGCTTGATGACAGCGCTACCAAAAAAATAACGACTATACCGACAGCGAGTGGGGCTGAGGATGTATGGTCAGAGTAGTATAATGCCTTTCCTAAGAGTGCGTGTATACTACGTGATGCTACGCCTGAAAGGCCTTTGGGACTACAACGGAAGTTGACTAGTGAGCTTGGGGATGCGAAGGTAGAAAAATATGTAGGAGCTGTGGTTACTGCTTGGAACTGGGGATATGTAAGTAGTTTAAGCTGACGCTTTCAATAATTCACCGACTAGAATGAGGTTTAATGAGATTTCCCAAAGAAAAATGCTACGAAGAGAAGATTCTATAATCTCCATTTTCTAAGTACAATATCTTTTGACTTATTAAAAACTGATATTAAGGCTTGTTTCATGTACTCTTCCCTTTAAATTACGCTCTAACATGCTTTCATTAAAATGCCATATCTCGAGATGCATATGCCATTTCAAATTAGTTAGTATTTTGGAGCTATAAGTAAAAGTAAAATTTCTTTTTTTGCTCAACCCAATATCATTGGTGATTGCCTTGACGCCTATTTACTTACCGGATATCCATTGATTGTCATTGTGTGTGAATGATCTGCGGTCACTACGATCAATGTGTCTTCCTCACTTGTCAGATTGCGCGCCAATTCCACGGCACGCGCGAATTCTGCAGTTTCCTCTAACGAGAGATGAGCGCGTGTTACATGGTGCGCCATGTCGATCCTAGCGCCCTCTACAAATAAGAAATAGCCCTCTTCACTTTGACTCAACAGTTCGATGGCCGCTTGTGTCATTTCACTCAAAGATGGCACGCTGTCTGTCAAGTTCTTGCGTTCCAAGTCGCCATGGTAGGGACAATGCGACGAGGCAAAGAGACCCAACAAATATTCTGTGTCGTTAAAATCCACATTATTCAAACCCTCCTTGTTCCACACATATTTTGCGCGGACGCACTGCTCCCGCTTATCCTCCAACCACTCTTCGATTAAGTTACGTCCATCGGTACGTCTACCTTCCGCCTCCTCTTCATCGGAATAACTCTCATCGATGAAATTACGCCGTCCGCCACCCATAATCACGCGCAAACCTTTACCCACTGGCCATTCAACTAGCTGGCGTGCAATGTCCACATTCTTTGTTGCGCTACAACCGTCTTTCTCTATCGCAGCATCGTATTCCCAGCCACGTTGTGCGGTGTGCGCATAAACTCCCGCTGGTGAAGCGTGTGTAACACGCGCAGTTGTCACCAGACCCGTCCACTTACCAGCATCTTGTGCCCACTTGGCCATGCTTTCCGTGTGTGTGCTCGGATCGGCTGCTAAATCGCAATCATACTTCGGCACTTGTGCATTAACACCAATCGTACCATAGTTTCCCTTCACGCCACTCAGGTAGGCGGTCGCCGTCGAGGCGGAGTCCGGTACGCGCTTATCGACAGCGTAAGTCTTCGAGAGTCCAGTGTAAGGGAATCGATCGAAATAGACCTGTTCGGAGCTGTCGCCAAGAAAGGCGCGCGTGGCGGTAGTTGTCTGCACAGACATGCCATCGCCGAGAAAGAGTATAATATTCTTGGCGCGATTCGTATTCAGGTGCGAAGTTTGCTTCAGCTTCTCGGCAAGTATATTTTGGGCTTTATTCACCCAGTACTCCGTCGATTGCTCTGAGGAGTCTTCATGAAGGCTTTTGAGGCATGGTCCATTCGTTCTGGGATGATCTGTAGGGCAGAGGAAGTTCTAATGATTTCGAAATCAAGTCTACTGAAATATGAACTATGATACACCTGGAAATCGAGGCTATTCTATATAGACATGCCAAGCTATCACAAAAAAAAAAAAAAATATTGCGAATCCCAATCTATAATCATTTTACAATATTTATTGATTTCGTGAATCCCTAAACCCTATTGAGTTTGATTTATTTTAAACGGGGATCCCCTTCACGTCCATCTAATCATTTTGTTTTGAATAATACTTTTATGATCTTTCTCTGACTAAGTGTATAACGCCCAAGTCGCCTGATTATACTAGATTAGCGATACGATTTAAGTGAGCAAACTTTCAGGGTAAGTAATGTGTTTACGTATCTCGTTTTTTTCGCACGTTCCCATTAAGATTTGCGTTGCCATTTGAATGTTTTATTAGTGATAGATTTGGCTGGTTAAACTGGTCAATATGCAGAGCGATTAACTTTGACATATATATATACTATCGCGATTGGCAATATCTATATTTAAAAAAAATAATGACTTATAGAACCATTTCACTTGCATTTTTGTTTTGTTTTATGATTGCAAAAGTGCATTGCAACAAAGAGCTTAAAGTGAAAATCTTTTTTTTTATTATAAAATTTATGACAATATTGTTTTATCTGAGCTGATAATTTGTTGTCAAAAGACTTTTTATTAGCTCTTGTCTGCGGCACCATGCATGCGAAATTCGTTTTGACGTTATGCTTTCCTACGTAATGAAAAAGAAAAATAATGGCTGCGTTTCTTTATACATTCCGGATAACCCAATTTCGCAGCCGGAATAAACAGAATGTGTTTGAAATATACGTCAACATATCATCAGGAACGTTCTAAAGAATAAATAAACAAAAAAGTTTATTCCAAACGTTCAGAATGAATAAAGAAATGCAGCCAATAATTTTATTGAAACTCGTATTTTACCCTGAAAAACTTTTAGTGTTAAAAACTACCCTGATGTTGGTAAATTGTTCTTCATATTGTAACGGTTGGTTGGGGCTTGCCTTGCCCTCAAAAGATTTCTTAAGACAGAAAAACTAGCTGGATTACGATAATCACCTGAATATAAATGTGTATAAATAAAAAATTAATTAACCAAGTTTTTGTTTCTTGTCAAGAGCATATTGTTGTGTTCTATTTCACTTACAAAAAAAAATATTTACAATTTGAACAGGTGGTAAAATACCTCGATTGCAATATTTTACTTAACCTGTTAATTTAATATTAATGGATTTTATGAGAAGCTTTTTCTTTTCGAAGATATACACTCCAAAGTTTGCCATTGCCTGCCCAGCGCCGACCACTGTTAAGAAAAACTAGCTTTTCTAATTTAGAAGTTGCCCGGACCAAGGATCGAACCTAGGTCCTACGGAGTGGTAGTATGAACCTCTAACCACTCAGCCAGAGCTGGCCATTAACTGAATTCAACTTTAGTTTTTAAACCTGTGGCAACCGCCTTAAAACAATATTTTTCAAATTTTCTTTTATTGAATTTAACTCTGTTAACAGGTGGCAACCTTCAAAGACATTTTCAAAATATATTTTTCTTAACCCCCTCTCTCTTGATACACAGTTTTAATAGTATCTACATTTAGCTCAATAATCAAATTGGGTTCAACTTTTCAAACAGATGGCAACCCCTCTAAAAATATTTCCGAAAAATTCTTTGTTATACCTTTCCAAGTGACAATATTTTTTAATATTTAACATAAATTATTGATTAAATAGAATTTACTCTTTAAAAAGATGGCAACCCTTTTACGAAATGAAGCTTCCTCAAATCTCTTTCATTTGGCGCCCATATTTTAGCTTCTTAAACAGTAGGCAACCTTCTTCAAAAAATATTCGCTCTGTTAAGGCTGATTCACATACAACTTTCTTCGCTTTGCTTGATAGTTCTTTGCTTTGACATATAAGATCAATGTAGGCATATGCATGAGTATGCTCACATAAAAAACGTTTGAAGCAAAGCAAAGCAAAACGAAGCAAAATCTTGGGCAACTCTCAACTTTTATCCGCTTTGGCAATCAGCTGTCTACATGTGTCTTTTCTCGTGCGCTTGCATTTGCATTTAATGACAAAAATAGGGTAAAATTTTTATTGCTATTATTAATGCATAGTATTATATTGTTATCTATTTTACACATAAAAAATATGGAGGAAAAGGAGAACGCAAAAACTGTTAAAGCGTTTATTGTAGCATACCTTCTGCATTTCGCGCTTTGTTGTCAAAGTTTGAACTGTCAAGCAAAGCGAGGAAAGTTGTATGTGAAAGGCCCTTTAAACATTCTCTGGAGGACTGAAGCTAACATCACCGCTTTCTAAGAAATACAATTTACGGTAATATGCAAGAAACGTGTGTCGTTCACCCCAGTGGACGAGGGTCTCGTCACAATTTGCATCAAAGTGTGGTCAATGTCTCGTCAAGAATCTCTTAGCGCACTTACTAGCGCTGCACTTCCCATGTTATAAAAATCATGCTTGCCGATGAGCTATAGGGCGGGAAAGTAAGTTGGCTTAGGTGCCACTGTCGGAGCATTCAGCCACCACAACGAAACATCCGATAGCGGACTGAGGCTGATCGAGCTCGCCGGATCTTGAAGAATGATGGTCTGCAGCATTAGATTCCAGAAACCAAATCGATTGTATAGTGATAGACAGAAGACACACCTCGAAATTTTAGAGAAGGACAAAACAGCTACTCAGATCAGCAGCAAAAAATTAGCATAAGGAAGGTTCGCCATCGGAAAACTGCAGTTAGAATGAATAGCCTGCACCTTCGCTGCTTGACTTTAAGACCTAGTCTGTTAGCACACGCGGGAGCTATCTGTGGACATTATAGATCGCTAAACATGGAAGCGAAACCTATATTCCACAAAACACGTCTTCGAACAGCGGGAAATGCTGTGCGATATGTAGTAAGAACGAGAAAATTAGGCGTCTTACGGAGAGGTCCCTAAAAAAATAAACACGGCTATTTTTACAGCCGCCTTCGGTATAACGAAAAGGGACTCTTCTTATGGCGCGCCGTCCGAATGTGTACTCCCCGCGAAACTAATGAGCCTATGAAAAATTACTTTGATCTCCGTCAGAATTGGGAAGGACCTCTCCGAGCTGTTCGATACTAAACAATGTTTCAGGCAAGGAGACCCGCCATCGTACAACTTCTCTAATATGCTGCTGGAGAAGATAATAAGCGCTGGACTGTATCTCTCAACTACACTCTTTTATAAGAACTGATATCGACATCATCGGCGTCTGGGCTGACTTCTCGAAATTTGCTGAGTAGCAAATAGCGTGCTGAATGAAGAAAACACGAATTATCCCCTGCCATAAAAACAAACAGTCACTGTTGACAGCCATAAATTCAAAAAAGTAAAACACTTCGCTTATCTATGAAGCAGCATTAACCCCGATAATAATGTGGACCTCGAAATCCAATGGAGAACCACTCTTCCCAACAAGCGCTATTTTGGACTGAATAAGCAACTGAGAAGTAAAGGCCTCTCTCGTGATCCTGCTGGTGTATGGTGCGGAAGCATGGACAATGAAAACATCTGACATGGCGGCCCTTGAATTGTTCGAGAGAAAAATGTTTGCGGAATTTTCGCGGATTTGCAAGCGTTTGCGCGAGGACACTAGCGAATACTGCACACACACGATGACACGGGGAGCTGCATGAGCTTTATAACGGTATCAAAATGATGAAGCTTTAAGGCCTGTATGCAGCTCTCAAGAAAAGCAAAAACTCCATTTAAAATGACGTACAAGAAATGGCTAAGAAATTTTCTTAAGTCAAATTTCCTTAAGGCAGTACGCAGTTCTTAAGGAATTTACTACGCTTTCTACTACGATTTTTTAAAGTTTTTTGTGAAAAAAGAGCAGAAGGCAACCCAGGTTTGCAATGGAAATATATGCCCGTTCCATTATTTCTTGAGGAAAGAGTGAGGCAACAGGCTGTGAAGAATCAAAAATGTCAAAATTCCTTGGACACACACACGAAATAATGGCAATTTTTTCTTGACCGTTTTCTTGAGAGCTGCATACAGGGCTTTATAATACTGAGGCTCTGCTGGCTTGGTCCAGTCTTACGAATTGACACAAATGCTTCAACCCTGAAAGTATTCAACGATGTACTCATTTGTAATAGCACAGAAAGAGAAGGGCCTCTTCTGCGATGGAAGTACCAGATATATAGCTTCTCAGCTCGATAGCGGTCATCGTAATGAAAAACCAGCTGCCGAACGAAGGCAGTCTATGATTATGGGTCTTTTTATTTATGTGATAATATTAAGACGCTCACCACAAATTGGAAGAAAAGGCCAAAGGCGCAACCAAAATGTTACACACATTTTTTTTTTCTTTTTTAAGGTATCTTCAACGAAAGTTTACCCAAATCGATTAATCAAAATCACAGCGCGGGAAAACCCATACAATTCATTTATTATTCCATCGAAAACCACTCTGTATTCCAGTAGCGCTCAGCAATTTGCAAATACGTTATAGCTCAAATTCAATACAGAAAAAAAAACATAAACAAGTAAATATTTGACGCTCACTTAATTCGCTAAGTGCTTGACTGGGCCTCTCAATATTCCAAATTTTTTATTAATTAAATTCACAGTGAGTTGTTTAGAGACCTACTGACACCCATGCAAACCCGTTTCACTTTCATTTTCTCACAACCGTTCCAGTAGACCCATACTTACACTCATCCGCAGTTGCCGCTACTGTGTAGAAGGCCAAAAGCCCCAATATAAGCCAACGACTGTTCATTATTGAAGACACTGAGCGCATAGAGTTAACACGAACGTCACAAGCTACCGAATACTACTATTGAACTTTTTGCAATGTGACAAAGTTTTTATTCAAATTTATTTAGAATGTAAACAAAAACAAAGAAGCTAGAAAAGTCTTAAAATGCTAAGGAGAATAAATAAAAGCGACGATAAGTATCAATGGCGATTAATACTCTACGGGTTCTAGTGATAGTAAGAATGAGCTATGCTGGACGAAAGTAAAATAGAAAGCATTTGAAAAGCATGTTCAATAATTGGAAAGCTTACTGAACATAGATAGGCGTAACATTTTTAAGTGGACCCCAGTGCTCAGACTTGTGATAATCGCTAATAGTCTGTCTAATATACGTCAGCGAGTACTTATAGAGTATTGCAAGGTGCCAAGTTACCGCCAGCCATGTGTCACGTTCAAGTTCTACAGGTTTCTCGCACATTAATAATCTAATCAAGTTAAATTGCTGGCCAATAAGTTACTGTTATCCCAACCGAGACAGCCAAGCCCAAAATAGTGGCGTTTCAATGAACTCCATATGCAGATTGTAAAGACTGTGCCCTTCAAGTGCCTAATACATACGTACGTGCATATAACCCGCTATAAAAGGCCGCGTCTAGACGCTCAACTACAGTCTTCAATAATATGTCGCATCAGCCACATAATTTGCAGAAATACTGCTTCGTCGCTTTGCTGCTACTGGCCGCTTTACCGCCCTACACCACCGAAGCCGTGCCCAGCGTCGCATGCGATCTCGCTGATAACGATGGCGAGTGCATGGAAACCGTAATGCATCCAGGCCTACGAAACTCTGCGTTATCAAATCGTGTACAAGAGAGCGAGGAGAGCACAAATGCCTATTGGCTACAGAAGGGTAAAGAATTTGTGCGCAAACAAGCAGCAGCGAAGTTTAACAAGCGCGTAGCCAAGAATGTCATACTATTTCTGGGCGATGGCATGGGCGTGAACACGTTTACGGCAGCGCGCAATCTGCTGGGTGGCGAAGAGAAGCAGCTTTCCTTTGAGAAGTTCCCGCACACCGGCTTTTCGAAGACCTACTCGGTCAACACGATGGTGCCCGACTCTGCTTCCACATCTACCGCGTACTTGTGTGGCGTGAAAGGCAATCACGGCACAATCGGCGTCAACGGACGTGTGGAACGTGCCGACTGTGAAGGTATGCGCAATTCCAGCAATCACGTACATTCGATAGCGAAATGGGCTTTGGACGCTGGCAAATCGGCTGGTCTTGTGACCACCACACGCGTAACGCACGCGTCACCAGCGGGTATGTATGCGCATGTCGCAGATCGTGAGTGGGAGAATGACGCTGTGCTAGCGACAGATTGCGGTCGGGATTCAGAACTGCCCGATATAGCGCAACAGCTCGTACATGGCGAGGTCGGCAAGCAGCTTAAAGTGATATTCGGCGGTGGGAAGCGTGAGTTTATCGACTCTTCAATTTATAAGAAGGGCAATCGACAGGATGGACGTAATTTGATTGAGGAATATCAACAGCAGTCGACGCGTAATGCCTACGTGGAGACATTTGAAGAATTAGACGATTTGGATTTGAGTGTTTACGATCGAGTCTTGGGTTTATTCCACAAGTCACATTTGGATTACTATTTGGACGCGGATGAAACACAACCGACACTGAAAGAGATGACTGTGCGCGCAATTGAAATGCTACAAAAAGATGAAAACGGATTCTTTCTCTTTGTGGAGGGCGGACGTATTGATACAGCGCATCACAAAAATTTGGCGGAATATGCATTAGCCGAGACTGTAGAATTCTCAAAAGCCATTGAAGCAGCACGTGAGATGACATCGGAAGAAGATACGCTCATTGTAGTGACGGCAGATCATTCGCATGCTTTCACAAATGCCGGCTATCAGGTAGGTTGCGAAATAAAAAAAATACGAAAATGTTGAGCAAATGGTGGCGCTACACAATCATCCAAATCTCCGCATATCTGCTAAATAAATGCAATTTGTATGCGATTTTTAAATGTCTATCCGCTCTCTTTTTTTCTTCAGAATCGTGGTAGCGATATTTTCGATGTCACACCAACCAAAGCCGATGATGACAAGTCGTACTTGGCGTTGAGTTACGCAAATGGACCCGGTTTCGAAGAATATTACAACACTAAAAAGTATAAGCGTCGCAATCCTGAGAAAGTTCGCGAGACAACCTATACATTTCCGGCCACAGTTCCCTTGGAGAGTGCAACACATGGCGGTGAAGATGTAGCGGTATTTGCTTCAGGGCCTTGGTCTCATCTCTTCACCGGCGTGTATGAACAAAATACCGTACCACATTCGATGGCGTATGCGGCGTGCTTGGGGGATGGTCTGAAAGCCTGCTGACGGAATGTGATTGGATAAGACTGTTGAATACATGCATATATAGTGTGCATATGTACATACATAAATATTAAAAAAATATTTTCTAAAAAGCAAAACAAAAAACGCAATGTACATAAATACTTAATAGAAAAAAATTAATCTTATCCAAATGAGCTGTCTGCGATTAACTGACGTACTTATAATGCTTGAAACACGTGCGTGTTAGATAGTACCAAATATCACAAGTATTTCATACATACGGTATGTAATGCGTAATATTTAATTTAAATGATTTTGGGAAAAATAAATTCATGGAAAGTACAAAATACAAAGATCTAATTGTATAGATGTGTAAGCGTCGATAAGTAATAGATATTTTGCATTATCATCGCGGTGACCATCCGTCCGATTTTGTACTTTTTGCCACTTGTCCTGGTAAGCTATTTATTTTATAGAGGAAGCAAGATGGTCTATATCTTTTTAAATGTCCCGTATTTATCCCATAAGCACACATATTTATGTTCGACTAAAAGCTTAAACAGACGGCAACGTTAATCCGGATTAACTCAACTGCAGTTAATTCCCGAGTTGATCTCGATCAACGCTGCCGTCTGTTTATGCTTTTACGAATGAAACATTTGCTTTTCAAGGAACAAAAAGTTAAGGGATTCGATGTAAAATAAATTTAGTTTTAATTATGCCAAATTTTATATCACTCGGAATTATTCGACGAGTAAAATTTCTTGGAAAAATGTTTATTAAAAAGGCCGAAGACAAAGACTGAACACGTTAAAACAGTAAGGGTATTCACCTATGTGTGTGAATTTACAAAACATATAAAATTAAGTATTAAGTTCAGAGAAAACTGGTCAGCATGAAGTAAAAACCAAATATTTCTTAAGCTTTACCCAGAATTGCAGCGGACGACGATTAACCGCTGTCAAAATTAAAACTCACAAAGACATATGGAATGGTTTATAATTGGGATGGCAGCGTTTTTACTGCCCAAGTTTTTCGATTGATTTAAATTTATGTATTTCTCTTTTTACCGCCCAGCGGGACGGCACAATTTTGTGTGTTGATTGTAGTAATTTTTATTATTTTCACAAGTTTGCCAATGTTTTCATCCATTTTAATTTCCAGCAAGTCGACATACACACACGTACCGAAGAAATATTTAATTTTAAAGATAATTTTCAAATCAAAATGATAACTGACGGAAGCCGTCGTGCACCGCCATTGTGTTTACTCTGACGAATTTAACTGCGGCAACTCTTCAGCTACTCACTTAACGCTGACCGACTGGGTAGAGCTTTAAACTGTACAAATAAATTCTTTAATTTGATTTACTATTGCCGAATATTTTTGGGGAATTTGATGGTAACATTTTTATCTTGAGTTTACTTATCCTTTGGAGTAGAACTCCATACCAGCGGTTTATTCGGCTGTCAAATTCAGCATGATTTGAGTGAAAATTGTTTGATAATATCAATTTGTCATGGATCTTTTTGAAAGAAAAAATATTCTGCTGTATCTATAGTTGGCCGGCTTAAAATTAAAGATTTTTTTTTTTGTTAAAAATAAATTTTTTTTATGTTATATAAAAAGATGATTAAGGTTGATAAATTGCTTATGCTCTATTGAAAATGCCATACTTCTAAATATATGTCTTTTAATATTTTTATTTTTTTTTGAAGAAAAATTTGCTATAAATCCCAAATTCGGACATTTTTTCGACTAAATGCATTTTTAAAGAAATTGTATATTTTCAATATAGCGTAAACACTTTAATTATATATAAAAATCTTTTTATGTAAGATAGAATGTTAAAGGTAAATTTTGTCGCCTTATTTATTTTGCAAAAAATTACTTCGCAAACTCGATGTAACTAATTTTTGAAATCAACCGTATATGCCTTTGTTAAACTAACTGGATAAATAAGCTTTTAAATAAACCGTTAAAGCGCATAAATAAAAATTCCTTTCCTATAAAAACTATGTGTTTCTTTTACGTGCACCATTGGCAACACTATACAAATATTTCAAGATTCCATTACGTTCCGCTCTACTCACGTTTGAGAAAAAGTTGAGAATAATTTGAGAGCTAACGACTGAGATTTGAGAAAAGGACTGATAATCAAATAGAAATTTAACAAAAATATTTGTTGGTTGGTTTTTGCACAACATTTTTCATTATAACGGCCTTAAGCTCACTAAATATTGTTGAATATAAGCTAAGTTGTAATAAAAATATAAATAAATAATTTAACCTAGACGATTTTGAGATAAGTTAGTTTTTGTAAAAAATTACAGTAAACTAATTTTTTGTCCCCTATTCGGCTGATATGCTTATGTAAATATGGTCACCGTAATTATCATTACATCACATATCATCACATATGTATGTATGTATGTATATTCATTCAAACATACAAAAGCATGCCGCTAATTGAAGTTTCAAAGGGCTTACAAATTCTGCTATGAATGTGTTTTGATAAAAAACTTCGAATAGTCTCGAGCCATGGCTGGGCTTTGAGTAAACGTGGCTTCACATAAGAAAATTACAATAGATATGTAGAAATAATACAAGTAATTTTTAGCAAAAAAAAAACGGCCGATATATATATATATATATATATATATCTCATGATCCACTGATCGGATCTTAACCAGATTAGTATGGGACCACCTCTGAGACAGTCCCTTTCCGATGCAAAAATTATCGAAATCGGTTGACGTGGTCTAAAGTTATGCGGAAACATACATAAAAAAAAATAAAAAATAAAATTTAAAAAATAAAAAATAAAAAATATTCCTACAACTGATAACCTCCTACTTTTTCGGAAGGCAGTTAAAAATATTTAAGAGCTAGAATTTGGTTATTGCTGCAGTTTTCTCTCTTATTTGCAAAGTTGCGCCAGCTATCCATGCATACAAATACTTCTATACTTGGTCCTTCCACTGTATTCGTGCGCTTCCTAGATTTCATTCTTTTTCCATGGATGCCAAATACTCCATGTTCAAGCCAACGTAATCCTTAAAAACGTCCTATAGTTCAACCAAACGAATAGGGCCAGACTTTGCATATACTAGTTTCACCAAAAGTAAAGAAAAAAGTTCTCTTTGTTCGACATCGTCCAAGTTTCACCTTCACCTTGACACACCAATGTTGTTGACAACAGCCGTCGCTTGAGCTAATCTGTTATTTTGCTAGAGTGTCAGGTCACTTGCTCAATTTTGTGAATACCCCTTTTCTAATTCCTTCACTAATTACAGCAGTTCTCTAAACACTGATTAATGATTGAAGGTATTTTGCTGCTTTTCCGTTCACCACCAGAGCATCTTTTTTTGGATCCTTTTCCTAGTTGAAAAATATTCCAATGGTCTGGCAACCCTGATTGTAAGGTGGAACTGCAATCGAGATGGACAGCTCCAAAGTGAGTCATCGTCTTTTAAACGTCGTTTAGTTTCTAACATCTTATCTCCTTCATCTCCTCCATTCGTGGCTAACTTTACTTCGTCACCCGCAGGAATGCGCAATCTTGTATTCCATCATTCTTGATAGTAACCAACCGCCTAAGAACCCAAAGCAAATTTTTACGTACAACTGTTTAATTTTTTTTTTATATTAAACACTCTGATAAGATAATATTTTAAAAGTCTCCACTTTTGGAGAGTTTGAAAACCCCGTTTATAATAAAACTGTTGGTCTAATTTTGTATTTTCCGCTCCAATCAGCATAATTCAGTAGCATGTGTGAAGTCTCCGATTGTGGAGAGAATTCCAAAAGCATGTTTGGCATAGCCTATAAGCATTCTAATGTAAATTTAGTTTTTTTACGTTACATTCGGTACATAAATAGTCTGTTCCTTTGAACTTCGGACTAAAACCTGTGGAACTGTCAAACTACAATTTTACGCTCTCAAATGAGAGTAAAAGGAGAACAGATGCAGAAGAGCATAGGAACGCAAAAAGCACTATTTCCTGTAAAAACGTCAGACGGTTTGTTTACATGTCATTGGTACTACACTGATTTGGCTGAAAAATCACTAAATAATTATTAAAATCTATACATATTCAAATATTTCGTTGTTTACTTCCATTTTTTAACAAATATAAGGTTCTTTGCTTTCACCGTATTCTGTTTTTGTTTGCACATGTAAATCAGCTGATCGTTTGACACTTTTCATGAACTTACAGGAAAAAAAACTCCGGACTAAATCCTGTAACTTCTGACTAGGAACAGTTGCTCAGTTACTCTCTCAAATGTGTTCCCACTTACAGGTTTTATGTCAATAGGAACGACTTCCTGTAAGTTCTGACTAAATCCTGTAAACCGGACTGCTATTGGAACAGACTAAAATCTTGTGAAAATTTAAATCTGTACATACATATACATAACGTCACTACACACGAATAAAGGCGCGCTAGTGTTTTGACGGCGAAAAAAGGCGCGTAAAAAAATTTTGCGAAAAAAGATGCTTATGAAAAACTTCGGCGAAGTATGTTAAGAGTCTTTGACGCTGAAGTTTTTTATGCGTCTTTTTTTGCCGTCAACTTTTGAGCTCGCGCCTTTATTCGTGACTAGTGACGATAAGTATTTTTCTTCAATGAATACTATCGCGAAAATAAATGCAATCATAAGCCAATAAAGTACTCACCACCGCCTAAGTATATTAATTTAAAATTATGTCATTAAATATACACACACACATGCATGTGCATATGCACATATGTACATACACACTTACAGACAACGATACTCGCAGAGCCAATATTGACCGC